AATTCAACTGGTTTTTGGTGGGTGTGGGTCCCGGTATGAAATCTCTTGACAATGCTCAAGACAGTCCTAAACAATGGAAAATGTCATCAGTATTCCTGTTGATAAACAGAGATGAAGTGATTTCAGAGAATCCAAATAAACACATGTCCCCTCTTTAGCAACTGTCACCCAGCAAGGCCCCCCTTTTATGCCACAATGGTTCACGGCCTGAGGTAAAAAAGCAATTGACTAGAGAAAAATCTTCCATATGGCTAAATAAGAGCAGTTACAGCAGCAAGGCATTATAATCCACTTCAGTAGTGAAATTCTACTCAAAATTTTATCAAGGAGTAATAAATACACATGATTGCATCACAGGCTATGAAAAGATTCTCATTGTTAACTTACTTTCATTATCATGTAAAGTTAATAAATATCCTGCTTAGAGACATCACATTGAAAATAAAATTAGCAGGTAGCAGAAATAAATAGCACACATTTAATGAGAAATTCTATTTTCTGCCATGTATGGATAGAACACAAAAAGTCTATTGAGAAAGGTCTGTTTTCTTTAAAAACAAACAAAAATCTGGCAAGTCAGTTGAACTATTCCTTCCATTTTTTTCCCATCAGCATTAACATTTTTTTTTTTTTTTGAGGGAACTAAGAGGGAAGTTTACAGGAAATAGGCCCATATAAGGAAACAAGAAAGATCTCAAATAATTAACCTAGCCCTAAAGAAGGCAAACAGGCATGCAGATGGCAAACAGGCATATAAAAACAATGTTTATCATCACTTACAAGGAAAATGCAAAACAAAAGCACAGTAAGATACAACCTCACATCCATGAGGATGGGAGAGTAGACTAAAGACTTTTGTAAATACAGTAATAAAGTCACTCTTCAGCAATAGTGTTATCTGATAGTCATCCCACCACCTTTTCTCAGGAATCTTCAGAAAGATTTGTCCCTCCAACTGGAGAGGAAAGACAAGGGTTCAAGCAGTCAGTGCTCCCCAGGAGAGTGTGAAGGGAAAGTGAAGGCATCCCAGCAGACACCTAGCTGGCCTGTGGTCCATCCAGGTGGGCCGAAAAGTTATGGCAGGGATTTCTTCAACAAGAATTATTTAGCATTTCTAATGTGCTGAAATTTATACAGCAGGGGAAAGAGTAGGCTATAGAGAAGGTAATAAAATAGAAAAAAAACACAAAAACTAAGACAAAATTTAAATTAAATTCAGAAAAATAAATTCCATAAGGAAAGAAAAGTAATGATAGTATATGTGGCAAAGCTGGAAAGAGCATTTACATAGTCATAATAACAAATAGTGATTACGGACACAACCAAGATCAAAGTTTACCAAAACAGGGCGGATTAAACGATGGACATGTATGCAGAGGAGAGGGAAGTGCAAGCTCTCCCCTGACCAGAATTCAGAAGACAGTGCCTGAAGCTGGGTATACCTGAGGGCAACACAGAGATGACTTTTGGAGATTTGAAGATAAAAATAAAAAGTCTCAGCTAAAATAGTTGATCCTGGATGCCTCTGGAGAGGGGAGACAACTGTTTCAAAGTAAGGTTTATAGACTATGTAATCATTTTAAATGTGCCAGTATAATTTTATTTTTAAAAAGACTAAATTTACAATAATGAAAATCTTTGAATTTATTACCGTAACATACAACTTAAAATCGTCCAACATCTCAACATGTAGGGAAAAATTGCACTTTAAAAACAAAACTGAAAATGGGAGTGGGGGAAACTCCTGATACTGCTTGATTGATTTAGGTCCTTACAACATTCTGAACTAGTATTTAAAAAATCATTTCACCTTCCAGATTCTCTTGTTTCCCTGTTTGTAAAAGAAATACATTAAACAGATCTCATTAAAGCTCCCTTGACATCCATTTAAATACAGCTCATTGAACTCAATAAATACATTTTAATGGGTCAACTATTAAATCACTAAAACATGGATGTTCATTTTAAATGGGCCTCATTTCAGCTGGTTCTGATTAATGGAGTTTGTTTTCCTTAGGTACAGAGCAACCAATAAAACATCCTGATAGAAAAATTTTGCACGATATTAAATAGTCCCACTGGATTTTTTAATGGTCAATATACATTAAAAATATCAATAACTTTAAGATACATGTCACCTGCTGATACAAAAAATCAAAGGCCTACCTGGTCAATCAGTAAGATAAAACGTAGTTGTGCTGAACAGCTGCTATAGCCTCGCTAAACCACCACAGAGCGTATGTCAATTAAGGCCATGTGGAAGGTATTTCACCCTTCTATATTTGAGGCAAATACAATACATTCAATTCTCTGCTTCAGAGAGACACAAACCAGCTTGGTTCTACATGACTCTAGCTGTGGCCAAACCCCCTGCCCATGAACTAAGTTTTGACTGACTTATATATCACCCAGGTAAATGTAGCAACGCAGTAGACCTCCCATTATACTTTGAAAACAGGAAAAATTATTGGGTGTTGAGGGTGTTTACAAAATGATCTGGCTGTTCCACATATATAATTAATCTGACAAACAAACCAAAGCTAAGCAAAAACTGTAAGTTACAACTCTCCATTCCACCCACTCCGGTCCCTCACATTTAAATTGGAGATTGCCAACTGCTTTCTACTCTTCCACCCAAAGTCTAATTTCTTTAAGACAACTGAAGGTGATACAGTAGAATGTCATCCTCTTGATGTCGGTATGTGACCATAAAAAATGCCTTACGTGCCAGTCACATTAGAGGGAAAGGCCTTAGGGTCCGATCGCGGTTGGCAAGTAAAGAAAAATAAATGCTTAGACTCACTCGCTTGTGTTAGTGACTTTTAGCCAGGGGTTACTTTGCCCCCTAGGGAGCAATTTTGGTTGTCATGCTGGACAAGGAGTTTCTACTGGCATCCAATGAATGGGACCAGGGTGGAGTTTAAGGTTTGACAATGCACAGGACAATATCCTACAGCAGAGAATCATCTGAAGCAAAATGTCTGTAGTGTCAAGATTTGAGAAACCCTCATGTATGCTGATTTTTTGTATTTCCTTAAAAAAAAAAAAAAAAAGGACAAAACTCTAGCCAAGACAGTACAACTACTCCAGAATACCATTAATAGGTCTACTAGTACATCATTCAGGTAGAATTTTGAATGACTCATCATTTTAACTTGTACTAGGAGACAAACATACACACTCCACTCCACTCTACTAAACAAACTCATTAAACTGCTCAAAATTAGATTTATGAAATTTGAATGAAATTTGACAGTGAAAATTCAATTTCCTCTATTTAAGAAAGTCTCCAAAACCAGTTACACTGTTTCTGTTTTGAGTGGAAAGCCTAGCACATACTGTTTGGCACCTGGCTGCCAATGCTCTGGTGATCAATCATGGTTCTACACATTTAAATGTTGGCCAGAGATAAATGTGGCCTCAGTTCCAGGGTCAGTAGGTTATAAAGGTGACTGAGCCATAATTTAGGTGGTAGAGGCAGTCACCATCATCCAACTTAGGCACCGGTATGCCATGTGGTGGGGACCAAGTGAGCTACAAAGAAGTTAGAAAACCTGCAATGACTTGGGCTCAATAAACTCCTCCCCTCACCAGAACTGGGTCACCAGCGCTAGAAAGGCTGGTTTCCTTTTGCTATTAGGAAAATACATCACATTTCTTATTCCAAGGAGAATAAAGATATTTACAGACAAAAGGTAATAAAGTAAACAAAGCAGATCAGTTATAAAGCCTGTATTGGCAGGAGGTGTGGCCACAGAACTGGTGGAAATGTCCTTAGAGGGTCTTTGGTTGGACTCAACACTGTGGCCCTGCAGTTAGCACAGACATTCTGGCAGAAATTAAGGATGTGCCCTGGAAAACAAAGGTAGAAAGGATGCAAAAGAAGGATGCTCTTATTTAGAACTAAAAAGAAAATTAAGTTACCTGTGATTAAAACTCCAAGTGCTAACATATGTCAATTCTACATACTAGATAGATGAGTATTTTCTATAACTAATATTATATAACTTTTATGTCTGAAATATACTATTATTTAAAATGATAGCAAAAAAAGTACACATGAAATAGAGGTACTAAATTAATGCTTAATGCTAAATAGCAAGAATGGCAAGCTCAGCCAAAACCCAAGTGGCCACCATTGGTGTTACTAAGACACTAAAAATTGCCTTCAACATTTATTTTTTTGGAGACAGATGCAGTGAACCAATCTTGAGGACCAGGGAAGACATGGCAGACTTCCTATTAGTGAACTTGAAATTTATGCCTTTGATCTCGTTGGGATGGAACATAGGGGGAATGGTGGTGGCAGCCACTGTCGGACAAACTCAAATTTGAGACAGAGGGGAAAAAGTTGCACTTTGGCCTCCTGTGAGCCAAAAGGCAAAAAGAAAATTATTCTTCTCAAATTATGAATTTACTGTTAGCTTCAATCTTGAAATTAAGGGAGACATTGAATTTAACTCAAAATTCTGATTTCTTACACTAAGGGATGAACACTTTCAACTTATGGATTTCTACATCTTAGTCAATATTGCTAGTCCAGGGTCTCCAATCACTTTCTTTTGCTACTTCCCAGTGGGACCATCTATCTCCATTACCCCTGCTCAGAAGTTGATCTTATCACCACTGTTGACCTGAAAACTCCTGAACCCTCTACACCTACACTTCTAGAAGGCCTGTTCCCTACAACTTGCAAGAGTGTTTGTCCTCTTTTGTGCTACCAGTGTTCTCTAATTATGTCCACAAGGTGGTTCTCACCCTTGTAGTTTAAAAGAATCACCTGGAGGGCCTGTGATAGCACAGATTGCAAGGCCCCAGCCCTGGAGCACTTCTTACACATATCATTTCTAAAGCCAGTGTCCAGCCATCATCAGATCAACAACAAATATTTATTGAGTGTCTACTACAAGCCAGGCACTGTTGTAGGCACTGGATTCAACAGTGTAAAAAAACCACACACACATACATATATTCATATATATGATCTATGTCATATTATATACTATCTATCTGATATAGATCATGTATATGAATATATCTTATTTTAAAAATGTCATTATCTCTCTCTATATATTTATCTACACACACACACATATATATAGATCTATATATCTGACCTCAAAGAGTTTTTCTTCTGGTACTATATAGTAAACTGTCAATAGTGTTGACATTTGACCTGTTATACAGAAGGAAAAATGGTATTATCATGACCATTAACAGTGCTATGAAAACATGTAATTTTCCATTTCCTAATCATAACTTTTCCATCCACATGTTTCTCCCTTCTGTATCCCCTAGTACACACACATAAATTCATAAACCTTCCAGTATCCCAGGATTTTGGGTCTTATAAAATATTTACTGATTCACTGATACAATATTTGATGTAGCTGACATATTAGAAAAGGCAAATGTAAGAAGGATGTAAGCATGTTTATATGTAATTAATATATAAAAGCAACTGGAGAGAACAGCAAATCTCATTGTTTTCATATTGGTAAATATTAAAGAATAGTTCAATAATTTTCAAATTAGCCTCAATGATCTCTATGGCTACCTAGGCTTTCCTCCCTCTCTGTTTCATGAGCTACACCTTGTGTTAAAATGTTTGTGGCACTTTTCAAGAGCCTGGTATGGCTACTTTTAACTGCCGATGGGTCTGAGCAGGCAACATCTGGATTGTCCTGTGTGTCATTCCGAGGAACTGGCAGGTCTCAAGAGGTCATGTGATGCCATGGAAAGGGAGTAGACAGAAGCAGAGGTGAGCCTGATTAACTCTGCTCAGACTGAGGATACTTTCTCAGGATGTCTGTCCCAGGCCTGTGGGCCATGGTCCACTGTCCCTCCCTCCCTCACTTAGGAAAATATAAAACATGTATTTTCAGTTTTGGACAAATTTTCCCAAAGTATCTTAGTTCCTAAAAATGAGAGGTCTTATAAAGAGCAATTGAAATGTAACCGTACTAACCATGATGTCTACTTTCAAGACTTTCACACTGCAGAAGCTCTTAAAAGGCCACCCATTAAAAGCCAGGAGATACTTTCTGTTATTTACATGTAAGGGAGAAATGGTTGACATTTGTGAGTGGAATATAAGAAGACTAGTTTCAATATTCCAGGTTACATATTTCTTCTCTGTTAACATCATAACAAAATTTGACGCTCATTGTAATTTCAAATCAGTGACATCAAATTGTAATACTGTCTCAGAATAATATTCTCTTCCTATTGCTACCCCAATCAGTGATAAAACATCCAAGTTCAACAACAGTCCAAGTTCAACAAATCAATACAATTTCTACATATCAAAAGAATTTTTAAAAATTAATAATCCTGTTTAGGAACACAGTTTTATAATAGAGACCATGTCCCATTATTTATGATTTGTATGATTCAATCTTAAGTGATCTAAATTCTGATTAGTAGAAAGCTTTGGGTATAAAAGTGAAGATTTGGTAAGCCATACTGATCCTTAAAAATGGCTAAGTCATCACTTATTTCTCTTGAGCAGCTGTCACCTTCATAATCCAAAGGGATTAATATTTCTGCTGAGAAGTGACCTCCACTGAGCCAGTCTCTTTTCAAACTGTCTAATATAAAGCTAAGACAAGGAGAAATCAATCCTTATCAGTGATCGAGCTGGCTCATTAAATATTGCCACCTCATTTAGTGTAACAAAAGAACACAGTACTGTATTCTGGAAAACACAAATAAATCTAAAATAAAAACATTCTCATTAACATCATTCATATGCTAGTAATAAATTAGCTTCCTTAAATTTTTAAAAAATTGTTTACAGAATCCATCCTTATTTTCTAAATTAACAAAGATGAGTTTTAAAAGTGCAATAAAAATTCTTGAGGTCTTCATTGCAGTTCAGACAGGACTTCTTAGTGGTTTCCAAGACACAGCTTCTTGTCTTGGTGCTGTTCTTCATCTGGAGGTCTGGATCTCAACACACCATCTAGCATTCAAGAATAACAGTATCCAGAAAACCTTATTTCAAATAACATCTGAGTTGTAAGATCAAAATAACAAATTTTAACAGGAGAGATTCACTTTCCCTTAAAATTCTCAACTGTTAAAGAACACATTCTAGATAATTCACTCAGGTGATACAGCGGCCTTTAAAAATGCATTCACTCAAAAGTCTAAGGCCAACAACTCAAAAAATATTTTTTCTTGGAAAAAGTCATTATTATTAGATTGGAAAAAATAAAATACACTTACTTATCCTCCAAACAGAGGTGGAAACTGTCTATGGGGCGGGGAGACTATGAGGGAGTGAGTCACCACTCCCATAAGCCTACCGTACAAGGGAAACAGACATATCTCATTAGGTGGTAGGAAAAAATCTTCTTTCTCCTGTCTTTTTTGGATAATATTTACAACATTAAAGGATATATGTAATACAGATGGGAGTTCTAAAGTCTAGTAACAAATGAATACACGAGAACCTACCTCCAAGCCCCCATATTAGAATGTTGCCACTTCCTACGTGATCCCCAGTCTGAGCCCATCCTCTTTCACTTCCACTATCATGAATCCTGCAATTTATCATTTCATTGCTTCTTAAAAATAACTTTACCACATATATTAAACACTATATGGTTATTTTTGAAACTTTATGTAGAAATTGTATCGTAATATATTTAGACTTCTTGATTTTGTATTCAATATTATATTTCTAAGATACATCCATGATTAATACAGATATACTTAGCTTATTTCCACTGCTATATAATATTCCATTATATGAAAATACCATAATATTTTTGTCTAGTCTCTAAGGAAGATCTGCATCATTCCTAATTTTTGCTTTTAAGAACAATGTTGTAATTAATTCTTTGTCTCTTGGTCTTTTATACACATGTAAGAGTTTTCTACGGCCTATAGATAGAAGCTATATTGCTGAGTCATGGAGTACATGTCTGTCAACTTTACAAAAGTAATGTTAAATGTTTTTCTAAGGTGGCTGTACAAATGTTCAGTCCAATCAGCAACACAAAAATTCCCACTGATCCACATCCACTAGCATTTGGTACTAGCAATCTTTAATTTTGCCACCATAACAGATGTAAAACATCACGTCAGTATTTGCATTTCCCTAATTGCTGATGAGTTTGAGCATTTTTTTCATGTGTTTACTAGATAATGTGTTTCATTTGCTCTGAAATACCTATAACTCTCTTTTACCCATTCTCTCTTAAAAATTCTTTAAATCTTCTCTGTATGTACTGGAAACCAATTTATTATCAATGTACAGAAATATATTCTTCTAATAGGAAGCTAATCTTTTCATTTTATAATACCTTTTGGAGAAGAAAAGACCTTAATTACAATGTTTTCTAACTGCCCCACCTTTTCATTTAGTGCTCTTTGTACCCCATGGACGGTATCCGAGATCATAAAGATATTCAATGTTTTCTTCTAAAACTTAAAATTACTGAAATTTTGGTTTCTGTTTCTGCATGGAAGGAGCTCAGATATTGTCAGACAGTATTAAAAATAAAAAGTTAGCATTATTTTATTCAAGTGGGAACAGACTAAGTAATCAACAACTTTTCTTAGAACTTCAAGAGAGGGAAGGGCATGGAGCAAACCCCTGTCCCTGAGATTGGAGAGGCAGAAAAATACCGGGAGTCTCAGCTAAATGGAGCAGATTCATGAGCAGAAACTGCCCTGAGAACCAGAGCAAGGACAGGGAGATCTGAACTGTACTTGGTGAATGCTGGAGGCTCCGTGCAGATTTAGTCATGGGGGAAGCCCCCACAATATTGCAAGATGCACCTCAAAGAGCTTACCCAGGTTTTCACAGTAATTACAGGGAGAGGGGAAAAGACACCATTTTGAAATATGCCAGGGTTCTTAAAAGGGTAATCTAATTAAGCAGAACCTATTCTGCTGGGATATTATCAGAGCCTAACTGACTTGGAGGAAGGAAAATACCCAAATCCAGTCTATTCTAGGCATCCTGTTTCACTGAGGAGGGGAGAAAAAAACAGAGAGAGAGAAACACTTATGAAGTTCACAGCCCAAAGGCACAGGTTTGCGAAGACTAAGACCTCATCACAGGGCTCATAGAGGTTTCTTCCCCTACACTTTATTGCTAAGGGCCAGTTACAACATAGATTCCTTCTAAGTGATCTAGGAACAATAAAGCCTGGATACAGGTCCTCTGTTGATTATAGGAGACATTCTCTTCTGTTCCATGACTTGCCTTTGTACTCTTTTAATAACTTTGATTGAGGTAACGCTGGTTTACAACATTTTATATGATTCAGAGGTATAGGTTCACACCTCTTCAGATGTGTATACTAGGCCATGTAATGTATATTTTGATAAATAAATGCTCATAATTTTAACAGGTAAACTAATTGATCTTTAGTGGATAGGGCTGTTGGTATCCTTTCCTTAACAACAGGGAATTATTTATTGACACTCTCAAACACTGCTATTGAGTCCACATTATTTAATCAGGTCCAGATATTTTTTTTCTTTAACTTTTTTCCTGATAGTTTTTTTAAAAGAAAGATGAGGTGAATATGTACTTTTTCCAGATTGCAAATAAAAGATTTCCCACTTGAATAAAATAATGCTAAGTTAGAACACAAAACCAAGACATTTGCATAGAAATTATGTTATAAAGATCTTTATATTTTCCAATTTTTCAGAGTAATTAAGTCATTATTACTAAGAAAACTTTACTTATTATGCTAAACTTCCATTTATGTAGGATCCAAGAAGAAAAATAATATACCAAATATTTTTAAATAATATCATATAACAATAAATAATATTCACAATTATGTGCCTAAGGAATGACAAGATCTTACAAAGATTATATTACATTAAAAATATGTGTCATATGTAAATAACAAACTTTTGAAGATTAGGATTGCATATATGATAGCTGTGATGACTCTAATTATATTATTCAAATAACCAAAACATTTCCATTCTCTGACCAATCTAAGTAAATATGGCTATACTCTAATAAGAATGATTATAAACTCATTTAACACTAAACCCATCTAAAGCATACTTTTTTTTTCTAACTGCCCAAGAAGACTTTGTTTTGGTATAGAAGAGTTATTGTCTCTTATTGTTTCATATAAACTTAACTGACAAATTCAATTTGTATATGGTTATTTGTCATGGAAATATTCTATAGGACTAATAATTAACCAGCACTTTCTATCACATCTTGTTTGTGAAAGAGCAAATGTCAAAAATCTACTGTGAAAAGACCACAACAATTTCTAATACCTGATCATTAAAATTTACTATTTAGTCCCTTAACAACAAAGCTAACCACAGGAAGGATTTGTAAATACTTACTTTCTTTGCTTTCAGTCTCATTTTGTTCAAGAGCACAAGGTCCTAATGGATTCAGCTGCCACTGTTAAAAGGCACAGTTTATTTATATGTTCAGGAAGGATTTAACAAAAAGCATTTTAGCACCCTGCTTTTAAATGTCAAAAGTGCTTTTAAGAAAAAATAGTGAGCACACTCATATTAACCAAGCTCTAGTAATGATTCTGAAGGATAAGGCTTCTGGGATCAGAGTCAATATCCTTAAAAGAAGGAAAACTTTTAAAGGTCCTTTATTTTCATTTTACAGATAAGTAAGTAGAACGCTAGAGAAATGAAGTGACTTGACCAATGTTACACACTAAGGATAGTGGTAGATTAGAAACTGAGTCTGTCCATGACTGATACAGTAGAATGTCCATACCATATGCCATCTCCTGGTCCTGTAGCATCTCAAAGCAAATATATAGATTATACACTAAATATCAGCTGACTGTAATTTTCCATCTTGACGATTCAGAAATAGGGAAGCCTGAAAATTCTTGATTATTACGGAGAAGACCAGAGAAGTGGATAATAAAAACCAAGTATGGGCCCTCCCTGGTGGTGCAATGGGTTAAAGCATAGCAATACAAAGCTAGCTGCAGCTACTTCATGAGTTCAGTCCCCAGCCAGGGAGGTGACCCAAACATGAGGCAGACTTTCCTGACCCGCACACTGCTCCCCTCAGCAGTGTACCTAGTCCATCTGCCTGTTATGCACCCCCACTCTGTCTCTGGTGAATCCTCTCACCACCCTTGTAGCTCTGGTCTGAACCCCAGTTCTGTATGCATAAATAAATAAATCTTAAAAAAAAAAAGAGGGCTAACGGGGGTTGGGGGGGTGGGGAGGGAAGTGCATGGGATTATGGTGATGGCACACGGGTGACTGGGTGATGGGAAACCCGAGGGGATTACAATTGAGATGGAAAAACAAAAAATGTACGAAATGATGTAAAAACAAACTGTTATAAAATAATAATTAAAAAATTAAATAAAAAAAAGAGGGCTCTCCCTGGTGGTACAATGGGTCAAAGCAGTACATTATGAAGCTATCTGAAGTCACTGCAGCATGAGTTCAATACCTGGCCCACAGGGTGTGGCAGACCTCTCCTGACCTGCTTGCTGCTCCCCTCAGCCATGTACTTTATCAATCTACCTGTTTTGCTCCCCACTCTGTCTCCCGTGAATCCTTTCACCTACCACAGCTCTAGCCTATACCCCAGTTCTGTAAGCATAAATAAATAAATGTTTAAAAAAAAGAAAAGAAAAACCAAGTAGATCAGTACAGCCCTTCCTTTCTTACATAGCTTAAAAAAAACCCCATCATCAGAATCACTAGTGATTTTTTTTTTAAAGATTTATTTATTTGTGCATACAGAACTGGGGGACAGGCCAGAGGCTCAGGGGCGGCGAGAGGCTTCACCAGAGTCAGAGTGGGGAGCAGAACAGGCAGATCGACGAAATACACTGCTGAGGGGAGCAGTGGGCAGGTCAGGAGAGGTCTGCCACGCCATGTGGATCACCTCTGGGGCAGGCGGGGATCAAACTCATGCGGAAGCGGCTTTAGCTTCTCAGTGCTGTGCTTTAACCCACTGTGCCACCAGGGAGGGCCCCCAGAATCACTAGTGATTTAACCATTTCTCCAGAAAGATAAAATTAAGCGAACAGTACCTGGGAGCCTGTTCCATAAGTTCAGTTCATCAGATAAACTAGTTATTATCATGGACCCTGAGGGGTGATGAGATACAAGACAAACATTTGAACATGTGTGATACGTCTTTGAAAAGACGTATTAGAGGCTGGTGTCCTCGGAAATGTGATGGTTAGGACTAGCACCGAAAAGAATGTGGGAAGTTATGTATGAAATATTAAAATAGCATGTTTCTAACATATCACACCACTAAATTCTATTAATTTGGGCAAAGTAAAAACCAAAAACTCTGAATTTACATTTGTGGATATTCATAAAAAGACTAACTGTAAAAACTCAAAAACAATCTAGGTCTCCAGTAACAGGGGGATGGTTAAGTTATGTCTATAGGTTGGAATATTACATAATTATTGAAAATTATTTTTGAAGATTTTCAAACAAAGTACAGTAACGTTAACAGTGGTATCTATAAGTTGTGGGATGGTATCTGTACTTTATGCTGCTAGTTCTCTGTAATAAACATATTATTACTTTTATACTAACACCCCCCAACAATATGACCTAAAAGAGAAAAATTCACATGTATTAAGTACATGTAGACTTACATGGACTCACATGGACTTAAAGTCTTTTCTTGTTTTCCCAACAAAATTAATTTCCTTTTGCTTTAATCTTTTTTTTGGTAAAGATTTATTTATTTATGCATACAGAACTGGGTACAGTCCAGAGGTGCAGGGGCAGTGAGAGGATTCACCAGAGACAGAGTGGGGAGCAGAACAGGCAGATCTAGGAAGTACACTGCTGAGGGGAGCAGTGGGCAGGTCAGGACAGGTCTGCCCAGCCATATAGACACCTCCGGGGGAGCCGGAGCGGGGGATGGAGCTCGCACCAAAGTGGCTGCGACTAGCTTGCAGTGGGTGCTGTGTCCCGGCCCCATTTGCTTTAATCTTAACAACAAATATAAAATTTATTGACATTGCTATTTACTGATATATAATATCTTGTATCTATTAAGTGGTATTTATTGATACTATGTAATATGCTACTTTTTGATAGCATAAAGTAACTATAATCATTACTGAGATTCAAATTCAAACCTAGAAGAAATACTAAAGTTCATATTAGTTCCCCGTGTTTGACATTTCAAAGTTCAGCTAACTATGTAGTTTAAGTCATTTATTTTAAACCACAGGATATGAGGGAAAGGAGTTAGAAGGCAGAAAGATCTTCATCTAAAGAATAGAAAAATCACGTGTGTCTGAGTGAGGGGCAGTCCAGTGGAGAGCAGGCTCAGTAGGTGTTTCTGTATTCTCTTTCTGCCCCAGAGGCCTTCAGTCCCTCTCTGTCCCATCTCCTTTTGCTTTTCTTGCTCAGTCTTAGTTAGATTCTTGATCTCCTAGCTCTCTTTACAATGGAAAAACTATAAAGCCCATCAGTAAGAAAGATATTTCATAATTTACATAATTCATCATTCACAGACTTGAAGAGTTAGGTCATTTCATCTTTTGAAGAGAATTTAAAAATCCTTTTCTTCCCCCACTTCAGGAGGAATGAAGAGACTTACAGGAGATTTCTCTTCAACTTACTACATGGGAACCTTTGCTTTAGTTTTATAAGAGAGCCCTTTTTCCCATGTCAACTTCTTTTGATGCTGCCTTTTTCTTTTAAAATTGTGATAAAGTTTAAACAATACAATTGAAAATAGAAAAATAAAAATATATGACAAAATAAAAAGGGTAAAAATGTGTATGTGTTTCATACATACACAGATGACGCCAGTACGTTATTATATGTGAGTCACATCTATTAGGTATCTTACACATTCCAGGCACCCTGGCAATCAAACAGGAAAGTCAAGTTGAAACTTATAAAGTGGCCTATTATATGCCTTTTGTACTTACTGTCAAAATCTAGTATTTTAATGCCAGGATTATCATTAAAAAGCAATTTCACTATAGACAGGATCCTTTTGCTACACAGACCATTTTGGGATGACTGGTGAGCCCTTTTTGAATCTGTGGATTAATAGTGTTAATATAGCACTAATGATGATTTCCTGAGTTTTGTGAATGTATTATGGTTATGTGGGGATATACAAGATTCCAGAGTGATAAGAAATAAGTCAACAACTTACTCTCAACTATTTCTGGGAAAAATTTTTTCATAGTTTTTTTTTGAAGTTTCTGTATAATTTAGATTGTTTCTTAAAAAGTTTCTCCTAAAAACCTAAATGGTAAAAAGTAGAGTAAAAATTTTAATTTTCCATCTACTCTAAGAATTATGTGAAATATTAAATCCCTTCTAGTGTTTTTCCTGATTTTTCTAATGAGGAATGTGTGGCAAATGTGCATACTTGGTCATCTGTGTGTATGTAAGTACATATTTTGGGTCATTTTATACTATTTTCATCTCCATTTACCTACCACTCCAAGTCCAAAGGAAGGGGAAGGAGAAAGGTGGGTCTGGGTTTTTCTTTTGTCAGCCACCAGATGGCACTATAAGGTCCATTGATTCTCAATATTCAATGCTCCATTAAGATGTAAATTCTTTCTATTTTTTTCAATACTCCTCCTACCCCCCACCTCTTATATGAACTGGGGTGTAGGCCAGAGTTGAGGGAGTGAGAGGATTCACCAGGGACAGCGGGGAGCCAAACAGGTGGTTTTGCTGAAATACGAAATAAACACTGCTAACGTAGCTTGCAGTGGGCAAGACAGGAGAGGTCTGCTGGGATGTGGGTTAGCTCCCTGCACAGGAAACTGAACTCAGGCAGCAGGGGAGGCTCAAAGATGTACATTCTTAAGGCAGAGATTCTAAAGTGAACATTTATAATTAAGCAAGTGCCTGCACATAAAAAAAAAAAAAAACCTCAATGAAAATAGTTTGCTGAAACTCTTTGAAAGGACAGGAATCACAACATTAAAATAGGCATCAGGGTACTTAACAACAAAAATATAAAGTATTCTGGAAGAAAATGTTATCTACTTACAATAAATTTGCTAACACCCTCAAGTTCTCCAAATCTCATATAAGAAATGTCTGCCTTCTTTTTTCCAACATCTACATCTCCTGCGTAGATTTGTTTTATGCCTGCACCTTTAATTAAAGGTACACATTCATCACATGGGCACTTTGTCACAAAAATCATACTTCTTTCTTCTGGTTTAATTTCTTGACACCTACAAAAAATGTACAAAATAGTAGAAAGGTATTTCACGAAAGAGTGAGTTATATATTAGAAAAATCTCTAAACACTAAAATTGATTTTTAAAATTTTAAAAACAGGCAACATTTAAAACAATACTTACTATTGTTGAATTGGTGGCTCCTCAAAACCTAACAATTTACAAAATGTTAAAATAACATCCAAATGAGCTAATTATTTTATATAAAATATTTATTTATTCTGAGAAATTTGGTAACATTCAGTCTGAATAAAAACAGAATACAGTGTTTTCTAAGTAAGAAATTCTGTATAATATCAGCATGAGGGGCTAGCACCAACACCCCTCCATAAAAGTTTATCATTTAGACATTAACTGATCACAGTAGTCAAAAGATATACCCTTAATGTTCTAGTATCTGATGGGTACTTAATAAATGCTTACCAAATTGAAAACTTAATATTAAAGTTTGATTTTGAGTTAGAGTCTCTTTACTTCTTCTCCCAGGGCAGAATAACTTTATTTAACATATGTTTGAATTTGACAGAACCATACCTACATACAAAATGAAGTAAATAAATCTGTAATGAAGGCACAAGGAAAATAATAAAGATGCGTTCTCATCTGAGGCCACAGAGTGGTGCGTTCTAGTCCTGTGGTTACCCTGGTCTCTAAGTCACCACCCTTCCATATTCATCTCCCTAGTTCACACTCTCAATCTGCTCACCATTACTAGGGCAACAGAATTATATGCATCTAGTCGACTCAAATTATACCTGCAATCCAAGTAACAGTAGCGTGGCTCTTTCAATGTCATTCTATTACCCCACTGCCTGAAAGAGGAAATCTAAATTCAAAGTTATCCCTTGTCCAATCCCAACCTATTTCTATGTGCGCCATGTTTCAGCATATCTGGATTTATTTTTAAGATTTATTTTATTCAAGAATGCGGGTGTGTGTGAGAGGTGCAGTTGGGGGGCAGGTTTTTGTGGGAGATAGGCGAGAGGATTCACCAGAGACAGAGTGGGGAGCAGAACAAACGGTTTTATTGAAACATACTGCTGAAGAGAGCAGCGGGTGAGACAAGAGAGGTCTGCTGTGCCATGTAGGTCAGCTTCCTGGCCAAGGATTGAACTCATGCCACAGTGGCTGATGACAGCATGATAACACTGAGACTTTAATCCCTGGCCACCAGGGAGAGCCTGGAACATTCACATTCTTAAGCACACAATGCACTTTCCTACTTGACTGAGGCTACACTGGAAGCAAGAGTGGCTTATTTCAAGAAACCAGCTCCAGTTGCCACAATCCTCCAAACCTTTAAAGCTTAGCTCAAATGGCTGTTCTTCCACAGAACTTTTCCCTTTCATGCTCCCTCTGTCCCTTGTAGCTCTTGAATTTCCACAGCACTTTGTGCTGGTCTTTCCCACAGAACTGATCCCATTAGGTTGAGTATATTTATTATTGAATTCTAACCTCAAGGACATGAGTTGTGACTTACTCACTTTTGAATCCCCTAAGCTCATAATGAGAAATGCAGAGAAATGTTTATAGAAATGTTCTGAATTAATATCAGAAGGAGGTCATACTAGTTATAATTTCTAACAAACACTATTGAAAGCTATTTGGTTCATAATAAAAGCTATATATTCAGAAAGATATATGCTCTAGATTTAGATAGCAAAAGAGATCTTAAAACATAGAAATATGCAAGACTCTAAGGACAGACTTCAAACAATTTTATATTGGAGTGAGAAGGAAGAAAGGAAAGCAGACTTAGCACATTTGCAGGGCTGGAGGATCTGACTATATGGGTTCTGGGCATTTTATGAAAGGAAGTAAATCACAACTAAAAGATAACTAATTTTAACTAACACTCACTATAGTTTAAAGAAAATACACACAAACGAATTTCATACCTAAACGTCAAGGCATTCTGTTCCGCATGTACAATATATCTGAATTTCCTTATTTCTCGGTCTTTCTGTTTGTCATCCATTTGTGGGAAGTCAGCATATTCAGATCCAACAGGAAAAGCATTATAACCGCATCCTATGAAGTACATTGCCCCTGTTCCATCACAATTTCGCTAAAAAATTAAGCAGACCAATGAAAGGTTAGTTTTCAACATTTTGAAAAGGTACTCTATAATATATATATATTTTTTTATTTTACAAAAGTTTATTTTTACATCATTTTGTACATTTTTTTCCCATCTCAATTGTAATCCCGTGGGTTTCCCATCACCAAGTCACCCTTGTGCCATCACCATAATCCCATGCATTTCCCCCTCCACCCGCCCCC